AGCAATTCGTCGGTTGCAAACCATGGCATCCTTACAAGCTATCAGGAGCTGGTGGAAGACCGCTTCAGGAAACCTCACGCTTTTGCTGTTCCTGGCCAGTCATACCAGTCTCAGCCTCGCCACCACGAGACGCACTTTGGTCGCGTGACTCCCGTTTCACCTGTGCAGCAACAGGCAGCCCCTGTCAGTAGCACCACCAAGCAAGAGGGCTTTGCTGTTCCTGCTCCTTTGGACAACAAAGGAACCGGTTCCTCTCTCAACAACAGTCTGAGATGCCGGAGTGTGAGCCCTGCTGTCCATCGCCAGCGTAATCTCAGTGGAAGCACTGTTTACCCTGTTTCAAATATACCACGCTCTAACCTGACACCTTTTGGAAGTCCAGTGACTCCCGAAGTTCACAATGTTTTTGCGAACATCCATGCAGACACCAGTGCCAATAACATAGCGCAAAGAAGCCAGTCAGTCCCCTTGACTGTGATGATGCAGACAGCCTTCCCGTCTCTTCAGAAACAAACAAACACTAAAAAAATCACCAATGTGTTGTTAAACAAACTTGATTCTGATAGTGATGATGCAGTGAGAGGTTTGGGAATGAACAACATGCCCTCAAATTACACAGCCAGGATGAATCTCACTCAGATTTTAGAGACATCCGCTGCTTTTCCTAGTGCCAACCCACAAAATATGATCAATTCCAGCACTTCAGTTTATGAATTCCAAACACCAAATTACCTCACAAAAAACAGCAGCAGCGATCAGATCAGTTTTTCTTCTGGAGATAATCAAGCACAATCAGACATCGGAGAGCAGCAGTTAGATTTTAGCAGCACTGTAAAAGACCTTTTAGGGGAGGACAGTCTGCCAACAAACCAGCAGCTGGTGAATCAGGTGGCATCAGATCTCAATAACGTGGCATCTGTCTTTTCCAGCGATATCAGGTTGTCTTCCGAGCTCTCAGGCAGCATTAACGATCTGAACACTTTAGACACAAATCTGCTGTTTGATCCAGGTCGTCAGCAGGGACAAGACGATGATGCTACACTGGAGGAATTAAAAAATGACCCCTTGTTTCAACAAATCTGCAATGAATCCATTAACTCAATGACTACATCAGGTTTTGAGTGGATGGAGAGTAAGGATCATCCTGCTGTTGAAATGTTGGGTTAATCTTGTTTTATAATATGTATGTAGCACACTGTATCTAAAAGACAGACGTATTGTATTTGTCTTAATGGAAGTGCCTCCTGCAGCAGAAACACTTGCTATGTATTGTGGCATCTTAAAAAAAGTTTGCTGTACCTGTTGCTCATTCTTCAGCAGGGAAAAGGCAGTCTTACCAATTTTAAACCAATCTCTGAAGGTCATGGGCTATCAAAAAGCCAGTATTAAATTTGAATTTTATAGTGTTTCCCACTCAATGTTTCTTATTGTAGCAAATAAAGAAGTGTTTAATAGCCAGCCAGCAGTGACAGCTCTGGTTGAGGTTTTGGGAGGGTTTGAAGTCGAGCTCCTTAGTAGGCTTTCCATACTCTGTATTGCTTGTTACTTCTTGCTAGATGATCCTTACTGACCTTTCTCGTCCAGGTCTGAAACAGGGTGCCTGCAGATAGGTAGGGGGTGGGGAGTGGGCACGAGGGAACCAGGTGACATGCAGGTGCCTGATGGCTGTGTAGCTGTCTTGAGCACTGCTCAGTGGTAAACTGGGGAAAATCTCTGTGGCACTGGTGCCATTGACATCTCTAGTAAAATGGAGAGATAGGAAAAACTAACAGGAATGATCAAGGAAAAAGAAAGATGCACTAAATTTTTTATTATAGAGAAATAAATCTATGTCATTATTTTATCCATTAATATTCATCACATACTTGATATTTTAGTTCTCACTTCAGTGTATTTACATTAGGTAAAATTCATGCAAAAAGAGTTTGAGCACTGAGATTTAATCTAAGCATGACACCCTATTTTAAAGTGATAGGTACTGTTTAATTATTTATCAACGCTAGAGAAGGAAGGAACATGATATTTTCCCTCTTTTTTTAAATAAAAGAGCTGCTGGAGTTCATTAAAATACTATTTTTAAAGATTCATTTTTTAAGTTTGCTCTTTCCTAACCTAGTGGAGGGTGTAGGAAGATATTCTTTTCTCTGTATTTCAGTAGGTTGAGCCTTTCTGTCTTTCTTGTTCGCTCTCTTTCTCTCAAACAAAAGATGATTAAAATATTAGAAAATGTGGTTAATCTAAAAATATTTCATATAGAGCTGTAATACCGGCAGGCACTTTACAGATAGACAGTAAGACGTGATCTTTCTTTTGGTAAAACTTATTTTTAAAGTATTTACTGTTTTAGAAGCCTGAATTCCATTTTCATAAGTGATTTGGCAGCACTGGTGAATCCAATTTTTTTTACAAGTCCTTAGCTGCCCTTCTGGAAAATGAGATTTAGACTTCTGCCTCACTAGTTCATTTGAACCAGAAAAGACCTTTTGTTTTATCAGCATGGCATAGATCTCTCTAATGGTCAAAACAGAGAAGTACTTAACAGGCCATGGCTCTGATGCTAGAAGGAGGACCTGCAGAGGCGAGCTTTTGCAAAAGAAGTTGTGCCTTGAGGATGCTACAATACCATCCCTTAAGCTTACTATAAAATTGATTATTACTTCTGTGAACTGACACTGACAAAACAGAAAACAGAGCAGAAAACATTTTCCTCTCTTGCATTACTCCTTTGAATAAGCGGTCATCAGTTTATGAAGGGGGAGGCACAATAAGCCCTTCTAGATTTATTGAAGGAGAAGATGCTCAGATTTTTTGGGTGATTAGTGTTTTTTTGTTGAAGTGTCTTGGTGGTCTTCCGTTTCTTCAGTTTTTGCTAATGACTTGAGATCCCAGTACTGGTCAGTTTTTTTGGCAGCACTGATTGAACTTGCTGCATTGGCACTTGAGGTGCTGGTGTACCACAGCTTCTTTTGCTCTTGCCCCAATTCAGCACCAGTCTGTGGCCTCTTCTGCAGGGACAAACAGTTGTGCCAAGCTGTAGCACCTTATGGGGCCTGATTTCACTGTGCTTGCATCAGAAGTTTTGCCACTTTGTTAGGAGCAAACTTGGAGAGTTGTGATCCCTCCATGAAGCACATGGATGTGCGATGGTGTGGTTTGCTTTGTTTAAGACCAAGTTACCCTTTTAAGTTTTGTTAAGGAAATGGGGAGGAGACTAAAAACTGCGTGGTAGCCTCCTGCTCGTTGTCTTGCCAGGTGTCTAAGGCCTGAACAGTTTTTCTCATAGACTGGAGTTGCTGAGGGCAGAGCTTGAGCTCTCTACCTACCCATGGCCCTTTGCCAGAGATGTGCTGAGCATCCTCTTACCTTGTTGACTTCACTGGGTCTTCAGAGACACTCAGCACCTCGTTTTGTTTTGTTTTGTTTTTTCCCTGACCCTGTGCAAAGTGCCAGCACTACTGTGAACAGGAGAAACCTACCTTCTGATGGAGAGTGATGGGGAAGAATGTGAGCGCCAGCACTGCGGGGAGAAGCTCAGCACATGCTGCAGCATCCCGTGTGTTTGCATGATGTGCTGGCCTCACCTCCAGGTCGCTAACACCAAGGCTGATGTGGGCTTGGGGGAAGTCAGTTTTTGCCTAACTCCACTAGTTTTTTTTAAGAACATTTCTCAGAAATGCAAGAGTAGATTAAAACTGTTGCGTTCTAAATTATGCAGGTGTCACCAAAGGTGTTTAAAATTATTTTTAAATACAAGCATTACACTGGGCTTAACATGTGACTTAATTAGCAGAAATACTCTATAATCAGTGGATTTAAAGCAAATATATGTTTAATTTAAGAAGTGTTAAATTTGATAAGGATCATTTCAAGTAAAATCCAAGGCACAGGCATGGCTTTGTACATTGGTATGTATTATTTTAGAGGTGTTTGTGTGTTGGTGGTATAATTAATAATGTTAGGTTCCTGTACTTAGTGCTAGTTGGGTCTTTACTATACATTGAGACAGAGCACTACTGCACACCAAAGTATGCAATACCCAAAGGAAAATTCTGTGATTCTAACAAATGGAAGCCTGACTGTGTCAGATACTCCAAAACTTGAGTTTTGAATTTGAGACAGTTCTGACCCCTTGTTTACATTGTTGGCTTCCTACTAGCATGAGAAATAAATTATTTTGATAGCAGTTTTTGCTAAAGTATACAAACTAGTGAATTTGTACCCTGTGTACAGTATTGCAGCAAACACTTTAAATTTGGTTGGTTGGTTAAGTCCAGTAAACTTTCTGGGTTCATATATTGCACTAAAATTCTGTTGAACCTGTGGCAGGCACATTCCTTAGGATAAATGCAACAAATATGGCCCACAGATTTAAAAAAAAAAAAAAAAAGGCAAAACAAAAAACCCCTTTTTAATATGTTTCATTATTAAAAGGCAAAATGTCATTAAAAGTGACAGGTGAAATTGTCTTATGTAGCAATGTGCATTGATCTCAATGAGATATTTCTATTTCTTATTCTCTTACCTGAGAATATTACAGCAGGAAAAATTAAGTTTAGTTTGCTTCACCATGTTAATACATGATCACAAAACGTGCATGAGTGTTAACGACTTAATCTTGTACAGTACTAGATATATTCCTGTAACCACTTTTATTTTTTTTATTCTTTTGCTGTATTGAAACTGGTTCAGTGTTAACCAGTTGAGCATAGTTATTCACAAGTAAGTTACTTTTTTGTGTTAACTAATTCAGCTTAGTTATTGTTGAATATGTTCCTTTCTTGGATTATTTTTTATTGCTCTGGTGTTGAAAAACATTTTTGCATCATTTTATCATGATAAGAATTCATGAAGTAAATAATTTGCAAATAATTGCAATAAGCACTGACTTCTGAACTGAAAAGAAGGAAAGCGTTTCTTGTGCAGTGCATCTGAGCATCATATAATAGTCTTGTACTATACTGTGCTTTATTTACTGCACCATAAGGAAAGAAAAATCCCTGTTCCACATTTTCATTTAGTGCAGGAAATCCAGTTTCTCCTCTCTTCCCCAGTGTTTTGTTGTCTGTTGTACTGCTGAAACTACAGTAGTTGAATATTGCAGTAGCATTTCAGTTATTTTTTTTATTGAAAGTGCTCAAAAATTGTTTTTTAAATGTTTTCAAAAACAATAAAAAACATTTTATATTAAAATTACTTCTGGAGTTTTTTTCTTTATATGGAAACCATGCATTAAGGTTGACCTAAAATACATAACTTTCTAGTTTGTGTGAAGACAGATCACAGCTGCCCATCTGTACCACTTGCTGCAGTTGCTGAGCCCCCATCATACACTTAAAGCTGAGCATGATGGTGAAATCTTCCTGGCTGAAATGCCGTGATCAGTCTGTGGTCTCACAGTAATCTCTGGAAAGGAGTTGGCAGTAATGGGCTTCTGACCATTCACTTTATATTCCATTTCTGTAGGTATCCCTTTTAAGCAGAAAGTGCTTGTGTGGTGATAGTATTACATTTGGGGGACAAAAACAGCTGCAGCTTACAGTTGAGCCTGACAGTTCAAATTGGCATCCAAACATTAAAATAATATTTTGGCTGAGGCTGTACTTCAGAATGTGGTGTTGATAGTTGTGCTGGTTAGAGTTGTCACCACGTGCAGCTCCTCTGTGGGTGCTGGTCAAAGCGTTCTTTCTGCGTCTGGGTGGTGGTTCTTCCTGTGTGGCATACAGCATCCCATTGCTGGTACAGCCATCCACAGTGCTTGGCTGGTTTTGCTTTTTGATGCTAGTAAAGCACTCTTAAAAGATAGTGTTACAGTGCAGCTGTACTTGCTGCCATAAAGGGGAGAATACGCTGTTTTGATCTATGGAGTCCTTTATTTAGGTTGTAAAATAGTATGTAAACCCAGCAGTGTTCCCAGCACAGTCTACGTGAACGCAATGGAAAAGTATTGCCACAGAGAAGAAACTGAGGGTGAGGGTAAACACTCAAGTTTTCATGCCACAAAGATATCCCTGGTTAACAGACTCCATCCCACACCACAGAGGTGCTGAGATGAGCTGGCAGGTGGCAGATTTGATGGTGGCACAAAACATTTGTCAGCAAAGGAAAAGAATCATCAGGGAGACATAAATGAGAGAACATGAATGAAAGAGCAGCAGAAGGACAGATTAACATGACATTGGAGGATATGCTGTTATATTTCATTGGATTCCAAATTAACATGATCTAAAAAGAGTTCTCAAACAATTCACAGACACTTTCTCCATGTTCTACAGTCATAA